CACAGGCCACAGCTAGCCTGTCCGAGGCCACGCAGCCTAGGCATGGCCTAGGCTGCCACAGACGGGCAACCACCGGAACGACACCAACGCCTTCAGTCACACATGCTACACTCCTCCTAAAAAGGGGTCGGCGGCACCCGGGCGAAGCCCTTACAATTTAATCTTTCGCCAGATCTTTCGCCAAAAAAATTACTTTCGCCAACTCGAGAAAAAACTTTCGCCAAATGAGATTTTGATATGTTCCGGGTCATCGTCATACACACTACTAACTAGGACCTTTAGATCGACAACCATTTTCAATATAGTTAATAGAATAGATTATTTAATTTATATATTATATATATATAATAATAAAGAATTAATATATTCAAACAATAATACAAATTTCATTCAAATATTTTTTTAATAAATTAATTCATTCGTTTTAATTTATCTATATTATATTTAAAATATCAATAACACATAAATTTAGAAGAAATGATATTATATATTTAATTCATAATATTTTATTTTGGTCAATATCTAGGATAAAGAAGAAATAATATATTTTGATTATTTTATTATAATGAAACAAAATCCAAATAGAATAATTTATAAAATAATTTAGATTTTGTTTAAATACGCTCCTTTATCCATCTCCATTATCTTTCTCTTCACCCAAGATGCAGCACCCGTCTTGCATCAGCGCAGGTTGTCCTTGCAAGGTCGGCACTAACGACGGCTCCAATAATATCCAATAATTTGATATTTCATAATTTTGTGCCTTGCCCTTTTGCGATAATTGAGATTTGCTCAAGGAACCGTGAAAAGGTAAACCATGTAAAAGGACATCAAAGGGAAATGGAAAGGAAGCAACAGGAAACCAAAAGCGTATGAAATAACATATGAAACGATTCTATTTGATGCATTGAGCAAAGAAGACGTCATTCTGGAGGGTGATGTTAGGAACGCCATTCTGGTGGGCAATTCTTCCGACTGTACATCGAGCCAGACAGTAGACATCCAAAAGAGCCATAGCAGGAGAAGAACTGCACCTGCCTGGTCAGTAAACACAGGCAGAACAGAAATCGTGAAAGTTTGACACACAAACTCCTGACGGAAAATCAAAAGCTCTCGTGCTCA